GGGGGGGGGGGGGGGGGGGCGTGAATGAAAGAACATACCTTGATATTTATCAAGTATGAAGGGACTGTAAGCGTAATTTCACGTAACCTTTTGAGCAGGAAAACATATAGGAATTATCAGAGAAATGACGATATCTTCCACATTATTAACAACATAAAGGTATCACTAGTACAGTTGTGATCTTTGAAATAATTCTCACAGTCCCTTAAAGCTGAGTAACTCATATTTTGAAAAAAATGTCTTTTTCTACCTTTAAACATAAAACAACAATAATTTTTGATTTGTTAATAATAAAGTGATTATCTAGAAGAAACCAGTCTCTAATTTGAAACACAGATGAAAAATCCAAAAGAACTTAATATTAAATACTTAAAACTTAAGTTGGTTCAAAGGTTTAAAGGTTTTTGTAAGATATCTTCTTTAACATAAGGTTTCCATGTTCGCATGCTAAGAATGCAGAATTGCACACGGTACATATCAATCTTTCCTAAAAAACGAGTTGCATGCATTTGAATTAATTTTTGTGGAATATTTTTTTTGAGGTGAGGACATGATTTTACATGGTTTGTAAACAAAATGGATCTGAGTTACAAACTAGAAATCACAAGAAAACGTTCCACAAAGTTCAATTAGTTTTTAATGACAGTTTTAAAAGGGAAGGCGGACTGAAATTTCGGCATCGTCAAGTGTCAATAATGATAGTTTACAGTTACACGTTCAGAATGTATGTTTTACCCAATTTAGGTAACAATGGAAAAAACCTCAAATTAAAATTCTCATTTGCTTTGAATTGCATTAATTCCGCTGCATGATTTTACACTTCAGTCATACTTAGGTATTCCATACAGAGATATTTCATACACGTTAGGGTACTGTATTTATTGTCATTTATAATCTAAGCCAGTATTTTTCTAGAATAAGTTTTTTTAAATGTTAAATTCTTTCCAGATTTTTTTTTGGTGTTAGCCATTTTATCAAATATTTTTGGTCAAATTATGATTTCTGGATTTGGATAAGCTAGGCGCATATTATCTAGAAGTGAACCAAAATATCAATACCTTCCCATATTCTTTATATTGTTGTGCAAGACCATCTTTTTATTCATTGGGTTACCATAAGTTCCTGGGCAAAGAACTTCGGCAAATACTTTCAAAAATGCTTGTGAGAAATAGACATGACGTTGTTGGTGCATTGCCGATTTCATACTAAGGCGCTCCTATTCAAAATTAACTTTAAAATTTGTCCCTGTACTTGTTACAACACAATCTATAAACATACTTTGCTTGTCTGTCTGCTTGTTTGTTTGTTTGTAACCGATAAACGTCAAAACGACTAAAGTGATCGGGCCCAAATTTGTTGTGGGACCTTAAGTGACCCTATGGAAGGTTTATGGATTACTATAAAATCTATAAAATTCTTTAGGATTTGTTCCATCGGTGTTATGAAAAAAATGGATATACATACAAGGACTTTTCTTTTGACTGGTCTAAACTAACCCTCCCATCAAATCTTTATAAAGTAAGTGTGACAAAACAATCATTTAACTTTGCTTAAATACAACTTCTTTAAAACATTAAAATCATGGCCTTGGAAACTTTATAGGATTCATTGAGTTAAATATTCAGACGAAAACTGTAAAATCAATATTTAATCTTTTTTTAAATCTTAATCTTAAAATAAATATGTCATTTAAATACATAGTTGAATTCAAAACTTCTAAAAATGTTATTACATTTTACATTTATGCTTTAGTAGTATTTAGTTACACATTCACATTCTTTGAACATCTGAACCTTTATGTTAATAAGAAGATTTAACACCAAAAGTTCAATTAATCAGAATGTAACACAGTTTCTCATCGAACAAACTGATAAACTATTTTTTTTAAATGTTTGGCGATTTTTTTAATCGATTTTGTTCAGGTGAATCAAACCAACAAACTGGACCAGATAAATGAAGGGTAAGCGAGTTTTTACAAACTCAGATTTTTTTATATTTGATTATTTCAACTTTTGATTCTAATAGACTTGGGCCAAAATAAAATTACAACGTGATCCACATTCCACAATGAAGGAATTTTCTGGCATAATGATGCTGTCAAAAACATGCCACAAAAAAACGAATGAAATGCTTAGCACAACCATAAATTGTGGGGATGACACTAGAATGCGCCAAAATGGTGGTATGTTTTTAGATGAAATTATCTTTTGTGAAAAATCACTTTGGTATAAAGTTAATGTCTTTATGAAGGGTGAAATACTGAAAATTGTTTTTAAAATTCAAAATAAATTTAAATCATCTAATACTACCGAGTTTAAGAAGCTCTATGAACGCTCAATGGCAAAATCAATTAAGACCTCTCTCCCCCTACACACACAGTAGGGAGTACGAATAAGAGGTTTATGGTGTAAACTCAATTTTGATGACCCCCCCCTGATACTCCTTTGTGCCCCCCCCCACATTATTTGTACCAACACCTACCATTACAGAAATTGTAATTTTGGGTTTTGGGGAAGAATAATAAAAGTTAAAATAAAACACACGAAAATTAAGGTTGGGGGAGGGGCCACGGGGGAGTGAGAGGGTGTCAATATTCCTGCTACACAGGTTTCTTAAATCTAGATCTGGTCGCGGTTAAATTCAGAAAAAAGTAGAATTGCATGACAATTATTAAGCATCATCATAAAACTTGATTCTATTGGTTTAAACGCAAAACCATAACAAAAATCGAAATCGATAAAATATTGTAAAATATCAAAAAAAAAGAAAAAAATGGTTGCTTTATTGGTTTCAATGTAAAAAAAAAATAATATGCGATCTGATTAAATTTATATTTAAAATAATCGTGTTCCAACACTGAAAATATTAATAAAGTTAACAGTTTCAACGCAATAAAGTCACAGTTCAAGTTTGAACATCAATTATTAGTGAAGTATATCAAGTTATTTTTAATTCATCATATTTACGTTAGTTCAAAGATAAGCGCAATAAAAACAGTTCTTAATCGTTCACTCTTAAATCAACTTCACACCCCACATTAGAAAGTATGTTGTTTGCATTTTAAAAGGTATATTTTACTGGTTTACTTTGTTATACAAATATTTCTGAGAGTTCTAATTGCGAACTAAAACAAAGACTTAATTTGAATTTTAGCAGTTTTATAGAAACAAAAGTTTTTAGAATTTAAATTTTAATGTTGAAACAAAAATAGAAATATAAAGTGTGTCTAAAAAATCATTAGTTGACACCAGAGCCTCAATTCTATATTCGCTTTAAAATGTTGCTGCTCATATCTAGAGCAGTCAGGGATTGGGATTGCTTTACTGAATTTATACCAGCCCTGTTCCCTCATTCGATGATTTTCTAAATTCAACATCTCATTAAAATTACGAACAACCTAGTTTCTCATGTGACAGATAGGTATCTATCTAATATGAAATGTTAGAAATCCTTTGATGCTTTTTCACTTTTTATACAAAATAAATATAAAATTACATTTGACAAGAGAGGTGCATGTCTACAAAAAATAATAAAATTAAAAACTTGAAATACAAAACAATTAGAATTATTAAGAAAAAGTTTAAATTTCTATGATTATGACACAAAACTGTGTTGACACAGTAAGATTGGGCTTTGAAGTAGATATCTGTTTGGTAAAAAAAAATTGTCAAAAAAGTCCAGACCTAACGTTAGTTAGCTGTACTTCAGAGAACACCTAACACATAAGATGTCATCTTTTCTGCCAACTTTTTGACACTTAGATCCGAAATCATTGACTTACTTTTATCTTTTGACATGTTTTGTTAGTCATTTTTCTAATGTAGAGTTTTTTTTCGGTCAAAACTCCATAAGATTTATTAAAAATAAATTATCACATTCATTTCTTATTTTAAACAGAAAAAAATATATTTTGTATTTTTATTTCAGTACAATCAGTTCTCCTGATACATCATCAGAAGAATCCTTGGATACTACAAACCATCATTCAGTTCATACTGGATATAATAGGTCAGAATACTGGATATAATAGGTCAGAATATTGGATATAATAGGTCAGAATACTGGACATAATAGGTCAGAATACTGGATATAATAGGTCAGAATACTGGTAATAATAGGTCAGAATACTGGATATAATAGGTCAGAATACTGGATATAATAGGTCAGAATACTGGATATAATAGGTCAGAATACTGGATATAATAGGTCAGAATACTGGATAAAAAAGGTCAGAATACTGGATATAATAGGTCAGAAAACTGGATATAATAGGTCAGAATACTGGATATAATAGGTCAGAATACTGGATAAAAAAGGTCAGAATATTGGATATCATAGGTCAGAATACTGGATATATAATCAGTCAGAATATTGGATATTTTATAGGTCAGAATAGTGGATATATAATATGTCAGAATACTGGTAATATAATAGGTCAGAATACTGGAGATTATAGGTCATGAAACTGGATATAATAGGTCAGAATACTAGATATACAACAGGTCAGAATAATAGATATACAACAGGTCAGAATACTGGATTTATTAGGTCATAATAGTGGATACAATAGGTCCGAATACAGGATATAATAGATCAGAATACAGGATATAATAGATCAGAATACCGGATATAATACAAGGTGTCCCACATCATATTATATCGTGTTTTAGCTTTAAATTGCGATTTCTGGAACTAATCATTTAAAACATTGTATATTGCTAATACAAAGATTTGCATGCAGAAAATACTAGGTTTTTGAGATTTATGTGCATATTTTGGTGTTAAAGCTTGGAGATAATCTAATATGATATAGGACGCTCTGTAGGTCAGAATAATAGATATAACAGGTCAGAATACTGGATATAATAGGTGAGAATACTAGATATATAACAGGTCAGTGGTTAAAAAAGCAGATTATATCTATAAAAAGCTCTAGAAAGTTTATTTTAAAAAAAAACTAAATGCTAGACCACTTAGAAAATTGACAAAATTTACTGTTTGAATAATAAGAAATATCTGGTTGTTTCAATGATTTTATCGCTTAATAAATAATATTTTATATTTATCTAGTGCTGTAAAAACAGAAGATGTAGGTCGTTCTCATTACGAAGGGAAAAGTGTTTCATCAAATACCCAAGGTTAGTCTAAATTTGGATTTAAGCTTCTTAACAAGATATTTTTTCTCTTGTCCTTCATTGGGCCAGAACCTTCCTCCCCCCCCCCCCCCCCCCCCCCCCCCCAATCCCACTCTCATATTAAGCCCAATGACAGAAGTGGCTCTGTTGGAAAGGGGGACTTTTCCCAACTTAAGCACTCAGTGTTTATTCCAATTTTACAATTTTACAATTTTTTAGAGAACAGAAATACAGAGAAATCTTCCGAGGCTTCGACAAAAACCAGTAAAATGAGGTAAGGCATCCAAAATCTCCGCAAACATTGACTTTTTTTTGCAAAATTTTGGCTATATTGGTATTTTATAATGTAAGAACAAAAACAAGGAGTCCGAATAAACATGAGAATTTCAAAACTGTCTTTGATCTCAGAAAAATACAACTATTCATTATGAAAATTAACATAGGATAGAAATGATCTTGGGATTTCGAAAATTTAAATTTTAAGTGTTAATTATTAGCGTATTGTTTAGAAATTCGAAAAGCCTAATCCTATCTCCCAGAAAACTTCAAGCTGCAATGAAAAAATCTGACAGGTATTTTTCAAATGAAATAAATAATCATGAGGCCGAATTTTTAGTATTTGAGCCGAGGTTTAAATTTGAGTCGGGGGGCTCAAATATGGTTGGTTCCACTTTGTATTTTATTTTTCAAGATTTAAGCCGCGCTCAATTTAAGCCGGTTTTGGGGGGATTTGAGACGGGGCTCAAATTCATTAAATTCGGCCACTGGATAATTTTTCCGTTTTTGTTTAGCAATTATGAGATGCCAAGTAGCAGTACTTACAGCCAGGGATACTACAGTAATAGCAGTGCTTCAGGCACTACACAAGGGGCTACTAGTTCAGGGCCAACTCAGGCGCCAGTGCACCCTTCAGGGGCAGTCAGGTAGGAGGGGGGCACTTTCTTAAGGGGCTTTCAGAAGGGGCTGGGAGGGGCTGACAATTTAAAAGGAAAAAATATTGAATAACTTTTAAAACATAAACAAAGAAATGAACAAATGCAGTAATTGATTTAAAAGATCAACAAAAAATGAGAAGCGGAAAAAAAATATTTAAATGTAAAGGACAATAACTGTAAGTAATTGAAAGTAAGTATCAAGTAAGCACAAATAAACAGAAGTGTGGATAAATAGTCAATTACTAATTGTTGTATTTAAGGAGGGTTGAACGCAGCCCAGCTGATCGACTACTGAGAGATATAAGAGATGTAAATTTTGATGCCATAGAACGGTTGGCAAGTCAGGTGGTTTTTATTATCATTCACAGGGGTGTATATTTTCAAAAAAATAATCTGAGTAATTTTTTGACAAAAAAAGTCATTTACCAATCCCCCCAAAAAATGTTCCTCTTCCTAAAAACTTAAACGGTTTTGATTGCGGCTTTAATTGCAATATTCCCAATTCTTTCTTTTTAAAAAAACCTTTTTTTGCATGTGTGAGAGGAAAATATATGCCCCTGATTTAAAAACAGTGCTGATAATTCAAACTATTTAATACAAAAAAAAATTGATTTTTTTTCAACAAAAATCGACTTTTTTCTCTCTAAAAAATCGATGTGTGTAAGATCTGAGTGGATGGGTATAAGTTGAATAAAAGAATGAATCCTTGTAACTGCCGGATTTAATCCAGAATAATAAATGCGTTTTAACTTTAGAATTCCCAGGGGAACTTGAACAGAACTTCTTCTATTTATCTAGGTATGCGTAAATATCCGAAAATAATTAATACGCATAATAGCCGGGGATATCTGAAATAGTTGGTAGAGTCTGAAATCTTACCAACAAATTGTTACTTCATTGGGGGAAAAAATTGGACAGACAAAAAAATTCACAGAAAAATACAGTTTCTATTGAAATCGTGGTGATCAGTTAAAGACAATAAATCTTGTCACAAATATATAAATAACAATAGATAATTCATCCTGAGCCCGCGATTAAAAAAATCGGGAAAATAAGACACAGGTCTAAGCCGTCATTTAGACTAATTTAGAATTTGGAATCCAAGTTGCAACTAATTTTACATATGGTTTATTAAACCGGTTTAATATTGTACTTGGCAGATTTGCATGGTTGGAGGTGGCAGTTTATTTCCAATGGGCCTAATCACTTAAGTTGAGTTTAAGAGCTGGCAGCTGTCGATCACATGACACAAGCTGTCGTCAGCTGATTCATTAGTTGGGTCTACGATTGAGTCTTATACCTGGGTCTAAAAAATTAAATCTCAAGTCGAAGCTTTTAAATCGCCGGCTCCGCGTAGATTCTAGATAAATTTTACCCTTTACAACCCGAGACAAAGTGCATGTGTACGAAAATACTTTTTTGTTAGTAACATTTTTGTTTACAGTACAGTACAGTGTACTGCAATACAATATTTACTCCTTAGGATGAGATTAGCGTACAACCACAGAACCAAACCAAGAAGAATATAAGGGAAAAAAGACTTTCCTTGCTCTGCTTTAAATGGCGACAAAGGAACAAATCTAGTTCTTAAAATTTCATAAATCAGAATTAATATTGAATATCTTTTTGTAAATTATTATTTAAATTCAGTGGTTTGCACTTTCAATATTTTTCGATAATGTGATCAAAATTGAGCTTTAATAGGCAGTACTTGCGAGGGAATAACATATTACAAGACATTTTAGGAAAAATAAAAGTTGGAACTAGCATCTTTGGTAAACTAGCATTTTTGTGGATAGGTACAAGAATGTTATTTATGACAACGACAACGAGTATGTTCCCACACACCCACCAACTACCACAACACCACCACCAACTACCACAACAATAAAAACGACTGTAATAACATCTTCTACATCAAGCCAACCATAAAAATGGCAATGTAAATTTATATAAAATATATAACTTGTAAAGAAAAAGATATCAGAACTAATTAATGTTCAAAGCATATTTTGTATACAGCAATTATTTCAGCACAAAACATAACGAGTACATTGTACAAGTCACCCACACCCTTTTGTACAATGTAAATGATAAAATAGTAGCTGTACTTACCCCAGTTTTGTACACAGATTTCTTGTACAGGTTTACCAATCGATCAATCGCCCCCTCTCTTATTTCCAAACTAGAAAAACATGGGTGGTTAATAAAATTGTATATCATATTTGGGAAGGAAGGAATCATTTTTTAAAACTGTCCAATGTGCCCCCCCCCCCAGAATCTACCTTGAAAAGTGAGAAAAGAAAATATATTTGTAAACCCCCTCCTATGACCCCCCCCCCCCGAATCTACCTTGGAAGGTGAGGAAGGAAGTCATTGCCGACAAAGAAGCACATGAAAACCCAATCGTCAATCACACGCTCGAAATCGTAGGGAAACGGCAGATTCGGCATCTGAAGATCTCTCCTGGATCAACCAACCAAATATACAACATAAACATAATCTTGCAACAAAACTTAATTCTAAAAATGTTAATATTGAATAATATAATGTATTTAAATGTATTTGTGAGCTCTTGATTTAAATCTTAAAAAAAGATACCTCACAATAAATAACCAACTTACTTACTATTTGGCAAATAAATTAATATTAAATAAGTATAAATACGTTTACCTAGGCTCGGTATTTATAATTATAAGCATCTATTTACTCCAGACTTTTCTTAAGCTTTGACTTTTCCTGCAGAGCAGAATGTCCGATTTACAAAGGTACCCTTGACAAGGATACAACGCCTTGTAATTTTAGTCTAATCAATTATATGGAAGATAACATAGTTTTACTTGGTTGGTTTTTTTAGATAAATTTTCCATCGTTTCTGAAGCAAAAAATGCGCAAGTCCTTTTTTTGATTCCTGCTTTTTACCGTTGTGAATCTGACATGCCACTTTATCAATGGAGGGTCCCCACAAGCACGTTAACAGTGGGTTTCAATCAAAACTCCCCTATTTACAGTATAAACAAACAATCTCTTAAAGTTTATAATTTAGAATAAATAAAGTTGAATAATTTAGTTTCCTGAGATATTCTCTGAGAACTGATAAACGGACAAATATAAACTTCTGCTCTTCGTAGATCTGTAGAACAGAACACTTCAATCCTTTCTCTAGCGTTAGCAACTTGTGAGGTCCCACACGAAATTGAAAATTAAATCTATATAATAAAACAAGACATTCGTATATATGTTGCGTATAGCCGTCCAAACGGCTGAACCGATTGGAGTGGATTTTTTTTCTCAGTTTTTCCCTCGGGCAACGCCGGGCCTTTCAGCTAGTATTAAATATTATGATAAAAGATTAAAAAGTTCCTTTTGATCTTCTCCGACATAATCTTCTCCGTCCAGAGGTTTAGCAGCACCCTGTTCAAAACCACAATATTCAATAAATTAAATTTGAGAAAAAAAAATATTTAAAGTTAAGAAAAATAAGTTTTAAATTCAAGGCAAAGGGAAAAAAAGACATTTTTGTTATAAAAAAAAATTACTCTTGACACTAAATCCGGTAATTCCTGACCAAATCCGAATATTCCTGACCAAATCCGGATAAATATGAAATCCTAATATTGAATATTTGACCGGCCTGACACTCGTGAATCTCATGACCCATCTGACGGCATAGATCACAGGGTCGGGGCTTGTTCGGCTTGAATTCCTCCCTAGTGTTAGAAAATACTGTAATTCAATTTTATGTGGTAAAAAATTATAATATATCAGAAAATCAAGGGGTATCTATATATATATCAGGAATATCAGGAGAAAGATCTGGATTTCCAAGTTAGCATATATTTATTTATATAATTTCCAGGTATTCCAGGTGTACCCGAGTTCCGAGAGCTTGAATATTCAATTTATTATTCAATCAAAAAAACAGATACTCATCCTAATACACAATGTTTCATGGACCAATTGTGTATGAGGATGTTTATCTGTTTTTTTGATCAAATAATAAATTGAATATATTTATATAATATATATATTTACATAAAATGATTTTCAGGGAATCCTGAACATACTTTGTATTTATAAACTATGAATAACTGAGACTGCACTGATTAATATTAAAGACTAGACTATAGTAAACTGTTAGACTGGTAGACTGGTAGACTTGTAGACTTGTAGACTAGTAGACTAGTAGACTATATTTAAATAATTTGGAAAACGAAATTTGGGCATTTGGCTACAAACTTTTCCCCCTCTTCGGCACTTTATTTTAGAGAAGGAAAATCCGAATATACTGGGGACTTTATTTTTTTCACAGGGAGGAATGATTTTTAAATAAAATTTATAAACTTATTGAACGCCCCCCCCCCCTGCCTGGGGAGAGGGATATTCATTTTTATTAAATACCCCTGTAGCCTGAATGTTTATAAAAGTATACTAAAAAGTATATATAAAATATGAAAGTGTTAAACCTGATAATTGTAAAGTTAGGTTCATGAGTCGCAAGCCCGAGCATTATTAGATCTGCGTCCGCACCACATAGCACATGCTAGATAGATGGATAAATGGATAGATGGCTGATGGATAGATAGATAGATGGATCTTCTACCTACGTTTTAGGATCATAATGATCTTCTACCTGTGTATTAGGATCTTATTGAATTAATATTCAACCTATATTAGAATATTCATGATCTTCAACCTGTGCATTATTATCTTATTAATCTTCTACCGAGTATTAGGATCTTAATGATCTTGTACCTGTTATTAGGATATTATTGATCTTCTACCTGCACTGTGTAATAGGATCTTATTGATCTTTTAACTGTGAAATAGGATCTTATTGATCTTCTAACTGTGTATTAGGAGCTTAATGATCTTCTATCTGTTATTAGGATATTTTTGATCTTCTACCTGTGTATTAGGATCATGATCAGGCTGAGATCTCTGTTTCCTGATGAAATCCATGATCTTGTGTTCTCCCTCTCCAGGCACATTAGCATCAGAGAGAATAACTAAATAAATAATAACTTAATTGATTGATTGAAATCAGATCAGAGATAAAAACTCTTGTATTGGATACCATTGTATTGAGTACTCCTGATTGCTAAATCTCTGGATCAACTGTCGACCCTCTTGATTTTCTACATAGTTCTCTGTTTTGGATATCCCCACTTTTTTTTCGAGCCAATGATAGCTCTCATTAAAAGCGCGCCAAAAAAAAATAACTTCTTGGCTTCTGATTGACTGTTCGGTTTCTAAATTCAACAATCTGATTGGTTGAAGTTAAGACAAATTTCCGGATATTAACGTAAGTCTGAGGATTAATAAAAAAAGAAGATCAAGCATTGATATCGATATCCACAATTCTAAAATGTTAGCTCGAAAAAAGAATTACTGAAGTCATCCTTGAAATGAGGGTCCGCCGAGAATTTTGTTTGGAGAAAATTAAATCATATAATTACTGGGGATAAGTACTGAAAGTAATAAAAAAAAAAAAAAAATACAAATAACTTTATAAAAGACTGAATCTAAAATATATTCCGACCATTAATAATAATACAATAATAATCAATCCTTGAATAGACTTAGACATAATATAGGAATTTCAACCTTTCTTATGTCTGAAAAATCAAAGGGCATATAATTTATTATATCCTTCCACTGGCCTTCTCTCCCAATCCAAACAGGTTTTGGTTGATTTCCAACGAAAATGAACATCATGAAAATGATAACAACCATTAAAAACAGACAATTCTACCTTTTACATTCTTCCAAGCAGGGTCATTGTTAAGCCGATCGTGAACATAGTACATCAAACAAACTGATAATCTGAAATATAAATTATGGAAAATTTTACAAGATGTACATTTATTTATTGTCTGTCATAAGTTAAACAAAAAAATACATATTTAAAGAAATGGTAGAAATGTCCTATTTGATGAAGGGGAGGGGGGTCCATGCCTACATTTTGGGTTCAAATCTTCCAATTATAAGACAGCACGCCTAATCAGGGTTCTATTTTCCAAAAATAAAATAAACTTGGATACTAATCACCTCTAATGACCTCTCAAAGTTCTAAAAATCCACAAAAACCTTAAACTCTCAAAAATAAAAAATGAACCCTCCCGTGTGATAATAAAGATAAGGAGTCGAAAATAATATCTCACCTTGCCATGAAAGGTGTCCCAGGGGTGATACAATTACTGTCGAAATGTGAATCCTTCTGCTTCTGTGGAGGTAGGTACATCCCTTTAGCTTCAAGCTCCTCCCTAACAATCAATCAATCAAATCAAATCAAATCAATCAATCAATCATCAATCAAATAAATCCACCGATTGATCAATTAAATATAAAAAAAATCAATCAATCAATCTAAGTTAATCTACCGATAAATAAATTAAATAGATCTTAAATCTTTTAATGGATCAATGAAAGAGCATCAAGCATTTATAAGGTATTTTATAAAAAAGGCTAAATATAAATAAATCAATCTAAAAATCAATCAATCAAAGCTAAAAAAAATTGCCTAATTCTCTCCATAGTTTCAATCTTCTCTGCAGTCTCTTTACTTGCCCTGAACCTTCTGGACCTCTGCTGGTTCATTTTAGCTCTAACAGAAAGAAAATAGGTTTAACTCTAGAATTTATAGGTTTAGTTCTAGAGGGATAACTCTAGATTATATGCTTGATAGATAGGTTTAGCTCTAGGTTGTAAACTTGATAGATAATTTTTTGCACTAGGATATATGCTGGACAAATAGGTTAAACTCTAGGTAATATGCTTGACAGATAGGTTTAGCTCTCTAGGATTTAAACTTGACAGATAGGTTTAGCTCTAGGATTTAAACTTGACAGATAGGTTTAGCTCTAGTATTTAAACTTGACAAATAGGTTTAGCTCTAGGATTTAAACTTGACAGATAGGTTTAGCTCTAGGATTTAAACTTGACAAATAGGTTTAGCTCTAGGATTTAAACTTGACAAATAGGTTTAGCTCTAGGATTTAAACTTGACAGATAGGTTTAGCTCTAGGATTTAAACTTGACAAATAGGTTTAGCTCTAGGATTTAAACTTGACAGATAGGTTTAGCTCTAGGATTTAAACTTGACAAATAGGTTTAGCTTCAAGTTTTGACTTGATCGATGAGAAAAATCATGTAATTTAGTCAATTCTAATATATTTCTTCTCCTGAAAAAAAGGATTAGCTTCAAGAAGAGAGAAATAATGTTCATGCATTAAAAGTAAATCTAGAAGCCGATAAAGATTGTTAACAGGCTTCAGCGCACGAAACCAGAGCGGATTACTATCTTTAACCGATTGTCTGTTGTTTAAAGTATCGATGGACATTGGATGTAGAAATATAGCGGTGATATGATTAAAGACGACACGCACCTGGGTGCTACACCATCAATGGCCATGTACAGAAGCTTCCTGGGACGTACAATGGCGAAGAGACGATCAATGCACTCAAAGATGGCGATCATCATCTCATCCTCATTCTTAGGAGCAGGCTTATCCTCAGGATGGGTGCAGGGGTGAATAATACCTTAAATATTATGTCAACCTAGATTGATTATTACAATACATTTTATTGTTAAAGTATTTAAGTTGTCGAAAAATAAATATCTGTTACACTATTTACATTTATTTACATATATGACTCTTTTCTCTAGATTGAGGACTTATAGAGTCTAGAGACTGTTTGAATTAGAGGTTAGCCCATTGATACAATATTTTTTTGGGTTGATTCTTTCGTGAAGGGATGAGAGTTAGATCGATGTAAAAAATGGTTATTCCTAAAGTAATTATCATCAAATATCATAAATATCTTCAAACTTATTCAGAATGTGCTTAAACCCTATTTATCTAAAGCTTGGAAAACCCTAGTATGACTTTCCTCAGGGGGGGGGGGATGATTTTTGACCTATGAATAATAAATAGAAACCTTGGGACATCGAAAAATAATTCCTACTTCACTTCCCAAAAAACAATTTATTTACCCAAATTTTCTACAATTCAGTGAATAAAATCTTTAAAAAAACATGTCCAACATTTGGGAGTGAAAAAATTTCAAAAGGAGAGTGAACAAATTTTACTGATTCGACTAATTAATTATTTATTAGATGATTTCAGTTTCTGATTGATTAATTGATTTTTATTGATTCATAACAAAGAACCTCAATTGTCATCATAAGAAAAAACGAGGTTTTATTATTGTTTATTTTTTTATAAAATTTTTTATTTAAAGAATTAAAATGTGAAGATTTATTTCTTAATTGATAAACTAACCGTTCATGTCCAGGTAGAGATTATCAAACTCCACTCCATTAGGATTAGGCTTAGAGGCGTCTACAGGAGCCTTTACTCCATCCACCTCAGGATTCTAGGTAAGTTCAAATTTCAAAAATTTGCCTCCAGCAAAATTCGACATTCCTTAAATTTTTTAAAATTTTGTAAAATCTACAAATTTTTTTATGAAACCCGTCAACTTTTTATTGTTTTGTTTTACAATTTAAGCAAAGAGATGTGTTCACGATTAAAATAGAAGATGGGCGCAGCCTAGAATATTATATGTTCAATTTAAAAAATTGGGCGAAGTATTTCAATAGCATCGTTAAATTTCGGAAAAGTATTAAAAAGTTTTACAATTCAACCAATAAGCTGATAATTTTAAAGTTAAATTTATGTAATTAAACGCAAAAACAATTTTTTTAGGAAAAATCTTAAAATGACTCGACACTTGATATAAAAACATTTCTGAATCTTTAATGTTTGATCTCGATATTTAATATGGAAACTATTACAGAGGATCAATGTATGTTCCCTGCAGGGTATAACGACCATCATGGGATATCGAAGATGAATTAAATTATCCGTACATGATGGAGATCAATGCTTGATCCCTAGATATATAATAACAAGCTGTGTGCCAGAAGAAGGTCATTAGGAAATAATACGATGTTGCTTCTGGGTCTATAATTTCAAGAATTCCGCCCCCCCCCCCAGGGCGGGGAATGATTTTTCAAGAAAACATACACCCCTGTGTTACTTACCCCTTCCTCGATGCATTGGATGATGACGGAAGGATATTTCCTGGTCAGCCAGCGGAAGAATGCCGGAACTCCCATTCTGCCTGATCAAGCCACTAGAAGGGCTTTACGCAGGATTGATTCAATTCTGAAATAATTCAGATTGTGAAAATCTTAAGTTCTAAGTTACTGCAAGAAAATGTAATCTGCGGTACACCTCAAAATGTCACTTCAATTTTCTCGTTGGCGTCGAATTCTTTTCTATATTCTTTACTTTATTAAGCAATTTGAGACACGACTGTGGCGAAAAATGCTCATAGTCAATTTTTTGGTTTTAACGAATCTCTTTTCGGTCTTTCTTTCTTCACTCTTCCACTTTGAACTTTGTGTAAACTTGTTTCACCCTCATTTTCCTTTCTTCCTTTCTTATCAGTCATTTTTTTTCTTTTCCCTTTCCCTCTCTTTTTACTAGTATTCTGCTTTGTTTCTTTATTAAATCCTGTCTTTGCTGGTTCAGATGAAATGACTTGATCTTCTTCCTTTGAATTCGCATTAGCAGCTTCTTCAACCTCTTCCTCTGGATTAGCATTAGCAGCTTCTTCCAACTCCTAAGACAGAAAAACATTAAAAAAAATATCACGCGGACATCATAAAATTGTAAGGTTTGTTAGCCCCGGACAGAACTTGTACTAATCTACTTTACTCAACTTCAATGCTGTACTTCTACCCAGTCTGCAGTACTTTACCCTAAAACTGTACCTGTCTGCTGTTCCTTACCCTTGATCTGTACCTGTAACATGTTTGCTGTATTTAACCACTGAACGAACCTGTACTCAGTCTGCTCACTGCTGTACTTTATCACTTAACTTACTTATAGACTGAGTTCTGTCACCTGTTCTTTACTACTGTATGTATACCCCTTCTGGGGGGTCTGAATCTATGTATAACATGGGGGGACCCTCGAAAAAGGCCTTAGAGAATAGGTATAGGGTTGTAATGCATGTTCGTAGCACAATTTTTAAAGGCCAGCTCATTACACAAAAATTAGTCCGATAACTTTAATAGTTTGGGTGCTAGGGAGAGTTTTAAAAATGCCAAAAAAGGGTCAGAAATTTTTTTTTTTAAAAGCTGTTTCGTTCTGAACAATTATCAAAGTGTGACAGATGCTTTATTCTACATACATTTTTTCTATGGCTTTTCAAAAATATAGTTTTTAGATCTGTTGCTTAGTCACAAAAAGTTATGGACTATTTTAGATTTAGCCTGTGTAAGGTTTAAACAGAAACTGTATCTGTACTCTTTTATGTTGTACTTTACCCATGGATAGTACTTACAGAACTTCCCAAAGATCTAAACTCCTGAACTGTGCTTAACACGAAAACTGCACAATGTACCTGTACAATTGAACTGAGTAGGTTTGCAACCTTTAAATCAAATCCTCCACTTACAACTTCAGCCATCTCTACATCCTTAACAAACAAAAATATCTCAATGATATATTTTCTTTAGTATCATGTGAGGGAATGCTTTTCGAAGTTAGAGAAAAGTTGGACTGGCAACTTAACTACCTTTTTAACCTAAACTTAATAATTATCCGCATAACAGAGATAAAAATGTTTCCTAGAAGAGGAGACAAGCCGCAGGGGGAATAATTTTTCATAAAAAAGTTGGAATGTGCATCGTTTTTCACTTTCAACACTTGAAAGCAGTTCTAATTTTGTCTGTGATGGTTATGCCTAGTAAATACGATTTTTTTTAAATTGAACTTGACAAATCCGAATTTTAAAAACAATTGTAATTTTTGTTACTATCTACGGCCAGAAACATAACTAATCGAGCAATTTTTTTTACCGGGTTAAACATTTCGGATAAAATTTAAAAAAAACAAAACTGAAATATATAAAAAAAGGAACCTCAAATCAGTCAGAATAAGCTGTTAAGAACTTACAGTGCAAAACTGTGCTAATTTTAGAGTAGTTCCGTCCACGGAGGTTCTACCTTTCCGCTCACGATGTTTCTATAGAAAAATTAAAGGGACTAAAAGCGTAGTTTTAAGTGACCTCCATGCAAAGATGTCAATGCCCGATTTACAACGGTACCCATGAAACATTAATCTCATCGTAAATGTGGAAGATATAGTTGTTTCTCTGAATCAAAAAGTGCTTGTTTCTGTGAGTTTCTCCAATGATTCTTATTAACAAGAAACGGGCAAGTATTTTTCATTGAGAAACTGTAAATTAAAATAAACAGTTAAAAGAAACAAAAACATTGATATAAAATTGCCACTTGATCAGACAAAGCTTTCAAGGGTACCGTTTTAAATCAGACATTGTCATCTTTGCATGGAGGGTCAGTTGAAATTACGCTTACAGTCCCTTTAATATATTAACGTATGCATTTTACTATTATTATGTTTTTATTTGTTGATTTAAATTTCACCTGAAAAAAAAATTGGTGCGCCTTGTTTCTTGGAAATTAAGACGCCGCATGCAAATTGCAAATACTGTGTCATTTGAAAAAATATGCAAGTTATCACAAAATTGTAGTTTTTTCAAAATATGCATGTTTTTATACCATTTTTCAGTGCTTAGGATACGGATCCGATGGATCCGCAAAATTTGGGCTTCCTGGATCCAGATCCAATGGGCAAAATATCAACTAAAAACTGAAGAAAAAAAATTTTATTCTCAAACCCCAAATCTCAACTATTGAAAAAAGAGAGATTATAAAAATTTCCTGATTTCAGAATGGTTCATCGGGTTTCAGCTTAAAAATAAGCGAAAAAATACGGCAAAAAATTTGGAAATTCTGCTTTGTTAAAAATTGTAGTATAATTTATAGAATTAACCTGGATCCGGTTCCATTTTTTCCCATCAAAATTAAATGGATCCTAAGCACTACAGCAATTTTCCCTTACTCTAAAACTTTACCTTAATCCCTTGCTTTATATATTTAAGTTTATTCTTTGTTAAATACGGTTCAAGCTGGGTCTGAGGATTTTATATGATTTTGTACTTTTAATTGAAACTAATATTATTTACGAGGGTCTGTGTCAATAAAAAAATATACATGGGCTGTTCATTATTATCCAGATCCTTTGGGGCTTCTACATTTTGGCTTCCTGGATCCAAGGAACAAAATATGAACCAAAACCGAATAAAAGAATATGAGCTCTCAAAACTCAAATCCAATGACAGATTATAAACAAAAAACGTTCTAATCCAAGATCCGGATCCACATCATCAAACATATTCTAGTGACTGTTCTTTAGGGAAATCAAATCAAAAAAAAATTTAATTCTTTTTTATTAAGCGAAAAAATTAGAAAAAATGTTCACATGCACACGAGGTTCAAAAACAAGGCCCAAAAACTGGTTACTATGAGGGTGAATGTAAATAAGTTATTCCCTAAAAAACTTTTGCGCAAATAAATTTCAAATATATGTTTAGTTCATAAAATGTTTGTATTTTAACCTTTTTTTAAGCCTCGATACACATAAATCCTTTCCCAGTAAAGGGACTGTAAGCGCCATTTCAATTGACCCTCCATGCAAAGGTAAATTCCCGATTTACAACGGTACCATTAAAAAAAGCTTTGTCTAATTAACTTTGAATGTCTATACTTCAGGAAACTGATGGTTTACAATTGTGATTTCTCTGTAAAAGTGAAAAATTGCGCATAATCTACTGCAGGAAAAGTATAAGTAAAATATCAGATATAAACGTCTGAAATCCTAAAAAACGACAATATCTTCCACAATATTGATCAAATAAAAGTTTCAATGGTACTGTTGTGAATCATTAAATGAAGGATCACTAGAAATAATGCCTATAGTCCATTTAACATAATAACAAAGATATGTGCGCCTGAGCCTGTGCGTCTACTGTGACAATTGTTTCAAAAAAAGGCAAATATTTATGCAAAAACAATATGTATCCTTCCTCGTGCGACAGAAAGCAGAATTCTGATGAATTAACCTTTAAACGTTAGTTAGATCAACAAAACAATTATGTTCGGATTTCAAATTAAATCTATGTTTATCAATTTTTTTTACTTATCTATTTAAATCGAAGACTATTTTTAAAGGTTTTCCTAGGGAGTCATCATCAAAAAATCTGACAACTGAATGTTTTCTCTCTATTGTCAGGGGTTCACTCCGAGGTTGATTAGTGCATGTGAACCCTGGACATGTGTCAGAACAATTCAAATGAACAGTGAACGTTTTAGTTTTATTCTTCAGCTCTTCAGGGACCTGAATATTAACAAATATAATACAATAAATCTTCTTCATTTTGTACAAGAAAAAAGATTTCAATCTTTAAGGACCCCGCCCCCCCCCCTTTATATAAAATTTGAACATGGAGCTTATATATTTCGCTCATAGACAAAATTGAACATTTGGCCACAACGCCCAGCTCCCTAAAATGTCCTACTAGCAGCGCTCTGACCCCAATCATGTTCTAGCCCCGACCTTAGGCTCGGCCTCGTACCCTTTTCTATCAGCAATATAATTTACTTTAAAGGGATTATTGGTGTTTTCCGTTCTGTTCCCGGTAACTTGAAAATGAAGGTATATTCCTATAGAACGATTTTTGGACCCCCCTTGGACCAGGAGATGGTCCAAAAATCCTTCTCTAGGACAGACCCAACCTGAAATATAGCCGGCCATCGTCCAAAACTGTGTCCTAAATCTACCCACACAATTTCTCCAGTTTTAAAAATCATGTCGTCTAGAGTCTAGAATAAGTTCGATGGAAGAACGTCACGGCATTAACTTTTATAGACAATCGCCAAATTTCGATTCAACGGTCTTTTTAACTTTTAAACAGCTTGTCGGCTTGTCCAGTGCTTGAGGAGCTCGTCGTTTATAAAATGAAGCTCAAATGCCGCAAGTAATTCTAGTTTTATAACTCTACGTTGAAAATGAAAATCAATCAACCAATCAATCAAGGATGCTACATCGATTGCACTAATGTCTACTCTTATACAAATATACATTTGTAATATGCAATTGTTACAATAAAATATTGTCGATGTTAATAAAAACAATATTAGTTCGATTGAACATTTTGAAACCTGAACTGTGTTCAGTTGCACTAATATTCAATCAGAGTACAACTGCAAATGTAACAATAGTCCAATTGGATGGTGTATTTTTGGACCTACGCCCATCCCCTCTACTGCCCATCCAACCTACAAACACGTGGTTTTAACAGCTGTGGTAGGTCCGATGCACTGTAGGTCGGATGGGCACGTTAAAAACAGCATATTGGTGCATCCGACCTATACTTTAAGCTGTCGCTTGGACACGTTAGNTGTTTCGACAAAAGCTGTACACTGTACAAAAGCTTAATAATATAACGACGATAAGTTGGAGAAATATGAATCTCTCTACCTCATTTTAGAATAAACCAAATCCTCGAAAATAAAAAAATGGATGATTGGAACTCTGTCACCGTTATCGGAAGCAGAAGGAATGCCGCTGCTGGAGGAGGAAATAAGGTTGGTCATGTTAGGATTAACCATAATGCTCTGTAGACTTGTTTCCAAGTGACCCTACATTTTTTGAGTCATATATCTGATTCACAACGGTACCTACTAAATTAAAGTCTGAGCTAATCCTTATTTTCGATTTGTAAATTAAAGTCAGTTGATGATTTCCAATCGAGATTTTCATTTACTTGAATTGTGGATTCTGAACGAATGGAAAATTAGAAAATTTATGATGGTTTCCTTCGTAAAATCAGTTTCTTCCAGCTTCTATACCACGGCCCGCTTATATGTATGCTTCTATCTACCGATCTATACTTTTCTGGGCTAATGTACATATAACTTTGTCGGTAATAAATGATAATAATTTTGCAGAAATCAGGTCCAAAATTGAGGGAGGGGGGTCCAAAAATTGTATTGCTTGATTCACTTCTACAAGAGTTTATTTTCAGATTTTACCAAATTCCGTTATTTCAAGATAGTTCTAGTGAAAAGGAATAAAAATGGCAACTAGCAGAGCCCGTGCGTTGACCGTCTCCAACCTGGATAATATGATGGAGAACAAACAACAGATAGGTGGCAAACAGTTAATTAAACCTGCACCCAGTGGAACAAGGGGCGTTCTAGGAGATATCAGAAACAAGACTCGTAATGTAAGAATTGCTATTGATCAGCCCTCCAAGGACCTTAAAATGGGTAAACCCAAGCTCAGAAAGGCTCAGGATGAGAATAAGGTTGAAGAGAAAGGGAAGAAGGAAGAGACGAAGATGGATTTAGGGAAGGACGAGGTGGAGGAGATGGACATCTCCGGGGTAAACATCGGATATCCAGAGATTGAGGACATCGACAAGGATGATATTGGGGATCCTCAGCTTGCTGTGGACTATGTTCAGGATATCTACAAGTATCTCAGGTTCTTGGAGAAGGAACAATCAATTAAACAGGAATATCTGGCGGGACAAACGGTAATTCTACCAAAGATGAGAAGAGTCCTTGTAGATTGGATTGTAGGAGTACATTTGCAGTTCAGACTACTCCCAGAGACACTGTACACAACAGTAGCAATTCTTGACAGATTCCTGCAGAACCACCTGAAGTCTATAGACCGAACTACCCTGCAGCTTGTTGGTGTGGGTGCAATGCTGGTTGCTTCTAAATACGAGGAAATATTCGCTCCTGAGATTAAGGACTTTGTGTACATCACCGACAAAGCGTACACTGAGAGGGACATTATCAGGATGGAGTTGAAGATTCTTGAAGGGATCGAGTTCAACCTGGGCAGACCTCTACCCATCCACTTTCTCAGGAGAGCCAGTAAAGCAGGAGGGGTAGAGCCCATTACGCATACTCTCGCTAAATACATCATGGAGCTTAGTTTGTGTGACTACAGTCTAGCTCACGAGTTACCAAGTATGATCGCAGCGTCGGCTCTTGCACTCTCAATTCGGCTACTCGATGCAGGAGTTGGGAGCATGGAGGAGGTCTGGACCCCTGTCCTAGTTTACTACACAACCTACACACTGCCTGAGCTCCTTCCCACCATACAGAAGCTCGCAACTATCCTAGCCGCAGCTCCGTCAGCCAGGCTTAGCGCAGTCTACCAGAAATATTCAAACAGAAAGCTCATGAAAATCTCCAAAATACCGTCGCTAGACCAACCTATGCTGAAGGAGATGGCGGCCGGTCAATTCTGAAGATTTCCCGCCAACTCATTCTACAAAACCGATTTAGAAATTCGCGAATCAAAAACTCAAAATAGCGGTTTTGTAGGTTCACTCAAACCCGCGAATTGACATTTTTTCCTCTGCTCTTTTTTAGACAATCATTGAAATATCTTTATGGAGTTTAACTTCTGCAAATTTTAAAAAAAAGTATTTATTTTTTTTAAAAGGAAATTTGTGTGTAATTTTACTGACTTTTAATTATTCGAATGTTTTAGTTTGATTTTTCGCCCAGAACGAGAAATCCTGGGAAATAATTTTTTTTATATTTTAATTGTTAATTGTAAAATTATTGTGTCTCGCTGAATTTTGATCTCATTTTTTAGTTTATTATCATTCTTAATATTTGTTCTGTATTATAAAGTTGTTTCGACAAAAGCTGTACACTGTACAAAAGCTTAATAATATAACGACGATAAGTTGGAGAAATATGAATCTCTCTACCTCATTTTAGAATAAACCAAATCCTCGAAAATAAAAAAATGGATGATTGGAACTCTGTCACCGTTATCGGAAGCAGAAGGAATGCCGCTGCTGGAGGAGGAAATAAGGTTGGTCATGTTAGGATTAACCATAATGCTCTGTAGACTTGTTTCCAAGTGACCCTACATTTTTTGAGTCATATATCTGATTCACAACGGTACCTACTAAATTAAAGTCTGAGCTAATCCTTATTTTCGATTTGTAAATTAAAGTCAGTTGATGATTTCCAATCGAGATTTTCATTTACTTGAATTGTGGATTCTGAACGAATGGAAAATTAGAAAATTAATGATGGTTTCCTTTGTAAAATCAGTTTCTTCCAGCTTCTATACCACGGCCCGCTTATATGTATGCTTCTATCTACCGATCTATACTTTTCTGGGCTAATGTACATATAACTTTGTCGGTGGGCTAAGCAGCTGTTATATCTCAGTGGACCCTAGATATTTTTAGGAAATTTCTAAAACCTCTGCATAGCAAATTTTAGGTTTTACTATAACAAATTTTTAATTCTGGCTATTGTTCATTCTATAAAATAATTTGTCTTAAAAAAGTTTGAAGTGAAGTACAGGGTTCAAATTAGAGAACTTTAATAGATAGTGGGCCCTGGAGTAAGCAGAAATGAGATACTGTTGCTAAAATCTTGTGATCATAGCATTTTCTTCAAAGGGTTGGTAGCAAAAAATGCGCCTTGTTTTCAGAATTCCAAAATGTGGTCTGCCGTTTTTGTACCTTAATAATTGACCAAGATATTGAGAAATTTGTTTAAAATTCAAATATTAAATATCAGCAAGGTTGTTAAAATCTTTAGTATCTCCAACAGTTTTTATAATACAAAGAAGGAGGCTAAATCTTATCAAATTTTAAAGACTTACAATGTTTTTCTATACTCCTTTGACATCTATTAACTTTACGAAAACCAAAGACAAATTGTAAGTTCCAGGGTCAAATGTCTAACGTACTGCATAACACCCCAGCAAAAAAATTACATCAAACCTTGACTATGATATATCCATCTATTATATATCCATGTTCTATACTTTCCTACAAACCTTTCTTACATTGCCTTAATCGGACTGTAAGCTTAATTTCAAGTGATCCTCCATAAAAAGGTCAGAAAAGGTGATGAATAACCAACACAAATTTAAGGGATTGTAAGGATAATTTCAAGTGATACTCCATCAAAGGATGGCAATTTCCGATTCACAACTTTTCCTTAAAACCCTTTATCTGATCTTAAATGTGAAAGATATTGTCGTTTTTCGAAGTTTAAAGTTGTTAAATTCCGGCAATAGGATATGTTCTCCTGCTGGGAAATGAGCTAGTCTCTTTTGTAGAGAAACCACAATATAAAATAATTTGATAAGTATTAATACTGATGACTAATTAATGCTTGATCAGACAAAGTCTTCAAGGTTACCGTTGTCATCTTTGCATGGAGGGTCACTTGAAATTATCCGTATAGTCTCGTAAATTTATTTTCGTTATTCTTAACCTTTTCTTTCTGAACTAAGCAGTAACGATACTCGTATAGTAATAAAAGTAAATGATTTTTTAAGATCTGGGTTAGGAAAATTATAATTAGACATTAAAAAGCAAAATTTTTCATCCTTATGGATACTTATCACCCTAAATTTTATTTATTTTCCACTCATCATTTCTTTTCCCCGGTAAAGCAAAAGAAAACTTTAATAAATACTTCTCGCGAAAAAAGGGGGGTGGGGGTGATTTTTCAATAAAATATACGGTCACAGAGTCAGAAAGGTGGTCGAATTATTGAAAGTTTTACCTTCAATAAATCCGGTTACTTAACTAAGTTATAATTATTTCCTTGTTTTAACTTACCTTTTTTTTTCAGGAAAGAAGTTTGAATATTGCGCGAAGGCAGGGAGCCCATATTATTACTGAATCTAAGTATGGAGCGGCCGGAAATACCCAGAAGGTTAGTTTTTAAAGGTCGCCCGTATAATCAAGAATGTGTAATTGGGTGGGGCAGGAACTTACATCAGAGGCCGAATTAAAAGAATTTGAGCCGTGTACGCGGCTCAAACATGGTTGGTTTTACTTGAAATTGTATTCAGTGTTTCGAGATTTGAGCTGGCGCTCCACTGGAACCGGTTTTTGGCGGATCAATCAGCGACGCATCTTAAATTCTACAATTCAGCCTTAAAAATAAGTTCATTTTCCTGATTTCTAGTTCTAGAAAATACTATGATTGCACCCAGGATTTTGAAATGCATACCAACTTTGTTGATTAATTAGCAGGATGAAAACGTTTTCTTGTATCATCTATTTCTGAAAAGGCAGTTGTATTTAAAACTAAGCCGCTATCTGCAAGGCGGCAAATAGCACCCTGAAGGAAGTCTGGGGTCTCCCTTTTAGATTTAAACTTGACATAAGAATTAAAACAATTAAACAATTAAAGAAATAAAATTGTGATTTAATTAGCTTAAAACAAAACTGTAAGTTAAATTTCATGTAACCCTCCCAGCAAAGATGGCAATGCCCGATTCACAACGATGACCTGAAACGCTTCGTCTCAAAAGTGACTTGCGCATTTCTTGGCAATGGAGAAATGACCAGAACTAAAAATGTATCGAGTCATTTGAACAACAGTATCTTCCACATTTTTGTTCAGAATAAAGTTTCACTGGTACCGTTCTGAATCGGGCATTGTCATTTTTGCATGAACGGCTACTTGACATTACGCTTACATTTCCTTAAATTACATAATCTTATATCCTTTCTTAAACAGGGCACCACTCTGAATACTGCCAAGTTGGATGCTGAAACTGAAGAGTTGAAGCACAAGACTGTGGATCTCAACGTTGGAAAGGTTAGTCTGGGAGCACCAGTGCTTAGGATCCATTTAATTTTGATTCTGGAGCAGCACTGGAAGAAAATTGATCCGGATCCGGGTCATGAAAATTTCTTAAAGATTTACTGAATTTTTCTAACAAAGCAGAATTATTTCGAATTTTTTTCTTCTTTTCGCTTACTTTTTGCTAAAACTTGATGAATTATTAAGAGAACAGGAAATTTGTATAATCTCTCTTTTTCAACAGTTGAGATTTGGATTCGACAGTAAAAAAATTTACTGTTTTTGGTTGATATTTTGCCCCTTGCATATTTTTAGCGGATTTGGCTCCAGGAGGCCAAAATCTTGCTGCGCATCCAACTGAGCCGGATCCTAAGCACTTTTGAGAACCGACTGTTGATATAGAATTCAAGATGTAATTAAATTTGCAAAGGAACTAAGGATTTGTCACATACTATTATTTTTCAATCATTATATCTTAGACCTCTGATATTTCGAACTATGAATTCTGTACGATCAAATAATCTCAACTTGAAATATAAAAATTTTACACCACTAAAGAATTACAAAATCTGAGTTTGTGACGTATACTCAATTTCTATATATGTTCTAATGGAAAGATGTAAAGGTACTGTAGGTTAGAAAATCTGAGTTTGTGGCATATACTCAATTTCTATATGTTCTAATAGAAAGTTTTAAAGGTACTACTGTGGTAAAAAATGTTTAAACAGAGAGTTTTACTAAAGTGCAGTACGGAAGGATGATGGGATCTTTATTAACACGCTTATTTTATTATAAAAATATTTAAAGGTTGACACAAAAAAAGAGACAACTGACATACCCTACTCTCATATTAATTGTTTGGTCCAAAATTTAGCTGAAAAGGCTAAATAAATGAATTCTAGCTGGAGTGCCCAGCGTTGCCCGTGGAATTAAAAAATCGAATTTTGAATGGAAAAAAAATTGCCATTGTTACCCCTCGGGTACACATCGGTATCCTCAAAACTTGCAAAAGTATTATCAACCATAAGACAATACATAAGGAAGCCAGAAGAATACATAATTTAAATACATTATACAATATATATTAATATTAAAACTTGTTGTTATTTATAATTCTTTAACTTGAGATATGCAACTTTAGAACTAATATGAAATGCTATCCATTTTAAAAATTCAAGGGTCCAGGGGGAAAATATCAGCCAAAAATCTAAGAAAAAAAATTTTACTCTCACAACCCAATTTTGAACGGTTGAAAAAAAAAAGAAAGATTATAAAAAAATGTTGATGTCTGCTTGATCTTAAAAATAAACGTAAAAAAGAAGAAAAAAATTTGACAGTTCTGCTTTGAAAAAAAAAAATAAGTTAATCTTACAGAACTGTCCATGACCTGAATCTAGATCCGGATCCATTTTTTAGTGCTGATCCAGGATCCGCATCAAAATCCAGGATCCTAAGCTCTAGTGTTAAAGATCCGTTTAATCTTGATGCGGATCTGGATTTTTGATCCACAGTCCAGGGTTGGCAAAAAAACAGCCTCAAATATAAATATTACAATTGCCTTTTCTTCATTCTTAATAAAGTATTCAATAAATAAGGTCTACTATCAACTGTATTGGTTTTAGGAGTTCAGAGCTCGCTAAAATTGATATTTTTATTCATTTCATAAGACTTGAACCAATGATCTTAACAAATGAATATTGTTTGAATATTGAGTTATTTAAAGAAATATATGGAATGAATCAAAGTAGTCAACCTTGTTTCTGGTTTCTGGTTTTAGACCAGACCAATTGCAGAAAATTGAAGCAATCGATCATCCGAAGTGCTTTCTACTATTTTTTTAAGAAGTATCAAAGATATTGAAAACCCAAGAAGATACACAGAACTACATTTGAGCTGAAGTTTTTCGGTATTTACTATTTAACAGTGGTCTTCCTTCTTGAGGATATAAATATTTGCCGATTAATCTGAGTAACCTCCGATCATAAATATGTATCCAAGTGAGAAAATAGAATTAGTCAGAAAATACAACTTAAATTAAAATATAAAAAAATTGCAGTATTCCCCCTATGAATAAGATAGGTGATATAATTTTATTTAAAGAGTATTAATATATGATTATTATGGTCTATTATCATTATTATTTTTGATAACTATCAAGTTCACCTATTGCTTAAATAGTTTAATGTTATGAATAAGTATGGATTTCAGTAGGTTTTGACTACTTTCAAATTGAAAAATTCAAAATAGCCAAAAAAAAACCAATAAAACCCACTAACACCCACTAAAACCCCACTGGGCTGGGGGTTTTTTTTAAAAAAACCCCGGGTTTTTTCCAACCCTGATTGACACGGGAGAAAAATGGATTTTTTGGTTATTTGGTTAAATTGTTATCATTAAAACAGAACAGTTCAGAAAAATGGATTATTTGGTTATTTGGTTAAATTGTTATCATTAAAACAGAACAGTTCAGAAAAATGGATTATTTGGTTATTTGGTTAAATTATTATCATTAAAACAGAACAGTTCAGACCATGATAATTACTTATATAATTAACGATAAGGAACAAAGTAAAGGAAAAGAATACATTTATTTATTTATTATTTAGTTGATCCAAAAGGGTCGGCAGGCCAAGGAGATGACCCAGAAGGAGCTGGCCACCAAGATGAATGAGAAACCACAGGTTAGATATTTTTTTGTCTCAAAAGTTGAAAATCTAAATCTAAATTAAGAAATTTACCCCTCCTCGCATGTAAAATCATTATAGGGATATTAAAAAAATAACTGTCTACAGTTCGATGAAAGCAAACCAGATGCATTTTCAATTGGCCCTCAATTACACACCACAACGGTACCCTGTAAACCGCAAATTTTCAATTTCTTCATCGTTATCGCAGCAAATCACTTTTTAAAGAAGCGACAATTTTGAAAATGAACATTTTTTACAGCTAGAACAACAATGACATATCTTTCATCCTTGAACAGAGAAAGTTTAAAAGGTCACAGTATTGATACGGACATTCCAGGTTCACATGAAATACCGTCCTAAATCCCTTCAAGGGTTATGATTGATAAATAAAATAAGAAAAAACATATAAATTTTAATTGTTATATTTCCTCAAGGTTGTGATTGAATACGAGCAGGGGAAGGCTATTCCTAACAATATAATCCTGGCCAAGATGGAGAGGATTCTAGGTTAGTATTCACAACAATATAATCCTGGCCAAGATGGAGAGGTTTCTAGGTTAGTATTCAGAACAATATAATCCTGGTCAAGATGGAGAGGATTCTAGGTTAGTATTCATAACAATATAATCCTGGTCAAGATGGAGAGGATTCTAGGTTAGTATTCATAACAATATAATCCTGGCCAAGATGGAGAGGATTCTAGGTTAGTATTCATAACAATATAATTCTGACCAAGATGGAGAGGATTCTAGGTTAGTATTCATATCAATATAATTCTGACCAAGATGGAGAGGATTCTAGGTTAGTATTCAGAACAAAATAATCCTGACCAAGATGGAGAGGATTCTAGGTTAGTGTTCATAACAAAATAATCCTGACCAAGATGGACAGGATTCTAGGTTAGTATTCATATCAATATAATCCTGGCCAAGATGGAGAGGATTCTAGGTTAGTATTCATAACAATATAATCCTGGCCAAGATGGAGAGGATTCTAGGTTAGTATTCATAACAATATAATCCTGGCCAAGATGGAGAGGATTCTAGGTTAGTGTTCATAACAAAATAATCCTGACCAAGATGGACAGGATTCTAGGTTAGTATTCATATCAATATAATCCTGGCCAAGATGGAGAGGATTCTAGGTTAGTATTCACAACAATATAATCCTGGCCAAGATGGAGAGGATTCTAGGTTAGTATTCACAACAATATTATCCTGGTCAAGATGGAGAGGATTCTAGGTTAGTATTCATAACAATATAATCCTGGTCAAGATGGAGAGGATTCTAGGTTAGTGTTCATAACAATATAATTCTGACCAAGATGGACAGGATTCTAGGTTAGTATTCATATCAATATAATTCTGACCAAGATGGAGAGGATTCTAGGTTAGTATTCAGAACAAAATAATTCTGACCAAGATGGAGAGGATCCTAGGTTAGTACAATACAATCCTGGCCAAGATGGAGAGGATTCTAGGTTAGTATTCAGAACAATATAATCCTGGACAAGATGGACAGGATTTTAGGTTAGTATTCACAACAATATAATCCTGACACAGATGGAGAGGAGTCTAGGTTAGTATTCATAACAATATAATCCTGACCAAGATGGACAGGATTCTAGGTTAGTATTCATTCTTATGTACTGTATATACATACAGTACATGCTTTCAGTACGTTATTACTTAAACACACTCTTTTGGTACAGACACACATACATGACGTTTCCGCCCCCTTCTTCTGAATGGTCAGACTTAGTCTGTCCCGCGGAAAAAATGTGAATTAGTTTTGAAGGGATTATTAATTCCAAATGTTCGACCACCGGTTTAATTGTTTTATTCAGGAATAAAGCTTCGAGGAAAGGATAAGGGTCAACCTCTAGAGCCAAAGGAGCCCAAGAAGGAAGAAGCGAAGAAGACGAATAGAAAGTAAAGCCTCGGAGGGGACAACAGTTTTAAAGTAGATTAGGTCAGGTTTACAACAGTTTTAAAGTAGATTAGGTCAGTTTTACAACAGTTTTAAAGAAGATTAGGTCAGTTTAACAACTAACTTTGGAACACAGTGTTGTCCTGGTTACTAGTAGATACTCTCTCCGTTTACCCGCACTTGTTTGTAAATTATGATTTTAGCTATTTTTCCGAGCCCGCGATTTAATAGCTTCGCCACGAGTCATAATTCCTTTAACCCAGGTTTGAAGCTCAATCTAAGACCTAACTCTAACGACAGCGTGTGTCACGTCATTGACAGCTGAAAGTTTGTTCTTTTGCTCGACTAGCAGGACTTGCGAAGTTAGGTCCAATGAAAATTAACCCGACCTTGGTTGGTTTTAGTAGAGAATTAGTCTTAGTGTTAGTCTTATTCTGAGCAAATCCCGGAATCCGCCAATTTTAACCATGAAAATCCGCCAAATACGATATTAAACCAGTTTTTATAAACCCAACTCGGTGGAAAATTATTTGCAACTTGTTTCAAGACTCGAGTCCTAAATAAGGCCCAATGATGGCTTAGACTTGAATCGTATTTTCCCGAATTTTTTGATCGCGGGCTCCGATAAAAGGCGACCCACTCAATTTAGAGTCTCAAAACCAAAATAAGAACATTCCCGTGGCTCCCTCAGGGTTTCCTGAGTTATGATCGGACAAACAAACGGACATCCCGACAGACAGAAGAGATATCATTGTCTTTAAATGTCATTTTTCCCCGCAAACTTTTAACTATTGTTTGTCACACCCTGGAAATGATCTGATGCGAAATAATTTGGTCTTTTATATTTTCATGTTACGTTGAATCCATTTTTTTAATCAAATAAATGGAGCCAGAAGCTTCTCTTTCTATTTGCGTCCAAAATATTTTCATTGGGGGAACCCCCTCCCCCTATAAGTCGCCTTTGTCATTACAAACATCCTATAATTTTCCAATTTAAATTACAAAAAATAAATTCCCCGTCCCAATTCTGGAACATGCTCACATATAAGAAAGGAGACAATTAACTAATCTTACTATTTGTCCAGGTAGTCTGTCAGCTGGTGATCTTGAAACTTTGTACTAATAAAACGAAGAATTGTTGTACTGTAGAACATCAGCCCTGATAGTGCAAGAATTGTGTACACTGCTGTGTACTGCTGTGCAGTTTATTACGTCGTACTACACAACAACAAAAAATATGCAATTAATACAAAGCATATACATCACTAGGCTTTTCTACCAAGATTTAACTGAAAATTATCAAAAACAGGAATTTTATAAACTTGCCTGAATTTGCTCCTGAACAAAGATAATTGTCCAATTAATTCTTAAAATCTGCTTTTTAACTGTTGTTCGTTTCGGCTTGGCGCTTCCTTTGATCTGCCGGGCGTATTTTTTTCCTTTTTCAAAATTTTTTATGTTTTAAACTTTTTTGTTATGAAAATCGTTTTTATGTTTGGCACTGAAGTTAAGTTCTGCCTGGCAAATATAAATTGTATTGCAGATAAACCATGTTGAACAGTGTCTCTGATCCACGTCGCCCGGAGTTTATCAAGAGGTATTTCAGGGTTGTAATATTATATATTGGAGTTTTTTTTCTATTACAGTTTATTTTATCTTTGAATATTTTATGGAAACAAAAGGTGAATATTCAAAAAAAAAAGCAATAATTTGAAATTATAAATATTTGTGAAAGGTTTTGTTTTAATTGTGAAAGGTCACGGAAGGAATGGGGGAGGGAGAGAAAGATAATTTAAAATAAAGATTGTTTAGGTATTCGACTCCCCAGGCTGTTGTGAGCGTAAACGGAGAAAAGAAAGATGTGCCAGGGGAGGATCTAACTCCAGACTATATGTAAATATTTTATTTATTCATTTAGTCATTCATTAATGGGGGGAGGGAGGATCATTTAATTATTTATCCTTCTTTTCATTCATTCTTACATTCATTATTTTATTCATCCTTTTATTCTATCATTAATTCATCTTTCATTCATGGTTTGATTGGTTTATTCATTCATGTCTTCTTTCTTTCATTCATGGTTTGATTAATTAATTCATTCATGCCTTCTTTATTTCATTCATAGATTGATTCATGCATTCATTCATGCCTTCTTTCTTTCATTCATTGTTTATTCGATGTTTCATTCATGCCTTATTTCTTTCATTTATTGTTTGATTCATTCATGCCTTCTTTCTGTAATTCATAGTTTGATTGATTCATCCTTTCATCCTTTCATTCATTCATTCATCCTTTCATCCTTTCATCCTTTTATTCATGGACTCATCCCTTTGTCCTGTCCGCTTTCGTTCATATATAAATCTACTGAACCTCCTTTCCTTTGATTTCTTCCCTGTTGTATTCTTCCTTTCATTGATTAGTTTATTAGTGATTAATTGATAATTGATTAATTGATTGATTGGTTTATTAATTGATTGATAATTACGTCTTCCCATTTTTGTTTGTATGTGAGTCTGTCTCTTACTGATTTAATTGAATTGATAAATCACGGATTTATTTATTAAATATATATTTGGTAAAATAATTCTGATTTTATTTATTGTGTCACAAAAAATTTGATTTTTTTTTTTTATAAAAATAACAAAAAATTTGTTTGATCAGGAATGTTTTGGGAATGATATTCTCTATGTGTGCCTTGATGCTGAGGATTAAATGGTGTTCCTGGATTGCTGTCTACTGTTCCTGTGTTAGTTTTGCCAATACCAAGGTATAAGCACCAATGTTCAGGGGAAACCTTTAAATAATATGGACGATTCATTTGTAAATCAAAGACCCAAGAGGAAGGGAAGGGAGGGGAAAAGGGAAGGAAAAAGGGGAAAAAGAAAGGAAAAGTGAAAGGGTAACAACAGAAGAAAGGGATTGGTGGGGAAGGATGGGAAAGTTAGGGAGGGAAGTGGACAGGTAGGGAAGGAGAAAATCATTTCATGCCCTATTCACAAAGGTACACTTGAAACCATTATCTGATCAATAATGTGGAAGATATTGTAATCTTTTCTATCTTTAAATGTTTCAAGTTAACTACTTAATGTTTTCCTACCGTAGAAATGCGAAAGTCACTTTCGAAGAGAAACCACAATTTAAAAAATCAGTTTTTAAAATCATGAACATTGATATCTTACTTGATACTTGGTACTTGATACTTGATACTTGATACTTGATACTTGATACTTGATACTTGATACTTGATACTTGATACTTGATACTTGATACTTGATACTTGATACTTAGTAGTACTCCCTCTTCAATCTGGGAATGTCGAGAATATCTTGATTTCCTCATGTGAAGTCTGCTATAGATCAGATGCAGCTTCAGTTTTTCTTAGCAGCCACTCCATTCTCAATGATTCTTATCGAACAATTGTTAAACCGAAGTGGACTGTTTGCATGTTAAACATCATCCATAAGTCAATAACTCTAATTCAATTTTTAACAGATAAAACTTTAGAGGGTACCGTTGTGAATCGGGCATTGCCATCTTTGCATGGAGGGTCACTTGAAATTTTGCTTACTGTCCCTTTAAGTTAAAAATTCTATTTAAAATCTTGAATATTGAAAATCGATTTTTTATTTAATCAAAAAAAGAGATGTAGATTCTCATACACTGTTTACGGAGTTGCTCAAATCTTCGGTTAGGTTTGTTCTCAACTTCAGAACATTCCGGAAATTTTTTCTGTTTGCGTACTTTTAGGAAAGAGTTGGCGAATAAGTGAATATTTTGAATGAATGAATGAATGATTGATTGATTTTTGTGCGCAGTATCTCAGCTGTTGTGATGTCCTATCTCCAGAACCCGTCACCGATGCCTTTACCCTTCTCAACCTAGAACCATGCATTTACGTATTTGACGTTGATATGAAGACGACCTCTACTTGAATCCCCCCCCCCTCTTAAACATCTTGGCTATATCATAGCTTAGGATTAAAAATAGGATAATTGTGTTTTTTTTATTGTGTTCGTTAACTTATTTAATCTTGCATTAATCTTTTTGTATTATGCTCGCCCCCTCCACCCCTCTTTTATACTTTAATATTCGTAGTTGTTGTCTGTGTTATGAAAACTTATTATTTTATTTCAATTATTTATTTGTTAAGAAATGAAAATGATTTAAATTGCAGATTATGAAATTCTAAAATGGCGTTCACAGATCCGTCGCTGGAGGTCAATTTTATCAACTTTAATCAGGACTGTACCAGCCTAGCACTTGGTACAAGGTAGGCTGGTTGGTTGAATGTTGGAGGTGGCAAACTTCATCCAAAACATCAAAAAAACACTCATTTTTTATGTTTAAATATTTATCATTAAAAACTTGGATCCTAATCATTAAAAAAGCAAATACAAAAGAAGAAATTTTTGAAAAGATGTTTTGTTAAAGAAATTAGCAAAACTTAAAAACTATTTATGCTTGGGCAATGATCATTGTTCAAATAAAAGTAGCGTCTTCAATTTCTAATTTTTGTTCAATTGATTTTTAAATAATTATATTTTTATATTCTAGAACTGGGTATAAACTATTCTCCCTGAATTCTATAGAGAAGTTGGATCTTATTTATGAATCGCCTTGCAGAGATGTCACCATTGTCGAGAGATTATTCTCATCCTCCCTTATTGGTAGGTGTTTGTCATTCATCCTTTCTCATTGGTAGGCAATTCATGTCCTTCATCCTTTCTCATTGTTAGGTCATTCATGTCATTCATCATTCTTCCATTCATTCTTCCATCATCCTTACTTATTGGTAGGTCATTTATGTTTAATTCCATTCATCAATTTATTCATCCTTCCATTCATCCTCTCTTTTTTAAAGGTCATTCATTTCTCCTCTCTTATTAGTAGGTCATTCATATACTTATTCATTAATTTATCCTCTCGAATAAGTAGACCATTCGTATACTTCTTCATTCATTTCTCCTCTCTTATTAGTTTTATAGCTTTAAGTTCAGTTATTGTAACTTCTTCTCCCCCCCCCCCAAATGTATATTTTATATGCCATAAAAAAAAATTTTATAAAAAGTAGTTTTTATTCAATCATTGTTTAAGGAACTGTAAGTGTAATTTTAAGTGAACCTCCACGTAAAGATTGCAATGTCCGATGAACCATTGAAAGATGTGTCTGAACGAATATGAATTAGATATCAATGTTTTTTGGTTTTTTTATTGTTAACTTTCATTTGCAGTTTCTCTAGGAAAGTGACTTGTGCATATCATGTTTAAAAAACACAGAACTTTTTTAAATTAGAAAAAAACGACGATATCTTTCTTTTTTTGGACATGTTAAGTATTCAAGAGTACCATTGTAAATCAGGCATTACCATCTCTGCATAGAGGGTCACTTGAAATTGCGCTCACAGACCGTTTAAATGTCCCCATGTTGTTTTTAGCCCTTGTATCTCAGTCCTCTCCACGTCGTCTTCGCGTCTGCCATTTCAAGAAGGGTACAGAAATATGCCAGTACAGTTACAGTAACACTATACTAGCAGTTAAACTTAATAGGTAACTGTTACATTGGGTTGGAGCGGGGGGCCGTTCAAAATTTTTTTG